CACAACAACAAAAAGCCGTTTTTTTTTTACTGAACTCTTATATCCACACGTTACCAGTGGCGTAACGTGGTCGGGTGTCACCCGGTGCGACACTTAATGGCGTCACCCCCCCCCCCCCCCCCAGAGGCGTAGCGACTCAATTTTCGATTTGCACCCCCCTCTCGAACTTTCGATTTGCACCCCTCCCCTCAAATATTTCTCTGTATATTTTACTATTTTTTGCCTTGGTGTCACCCCCCTAAATGGTGTCACCCGGTGCGTTCCGCACTCTCCGCCCCCCCCCCCCCTCGCTACGCATCTGCACGTTACTATTTCGGACCTGCCGATCAATAATGTAGATAAAGTAGAGTTCATCTGTGAGTATTATTTTTTTCAACTCTTTAAATAATTGCTTCAACGTTCCGTTAGTTGTGCGTTTATTTCTGTGGACGGGGGTGGGTAAGTGGGCAACTTTGATGAATGATAAAGGCTTTTAGTGCAGGCTTTTAGGAAAAAACCATAGCTACATCGACATTATAGAGGGTTTTTTTATCCTTCAGAAGACTGACGACCTAGCCATTTATTCACATATGGTTTGTGAAGCTGAAAAAACGGTAGCTTTTACTTTCTGTGCTTTGTGAAGGAGAATCACATTTTTACATTTTATTCACAACTGTAATGTATAGCACAACCACATTTATTAACATTTTTATTCATATCTGATTATATGTCAGATCCACATTTAAAAAAAATTCAAACACAAAATTGCTTTGTGTTTGTGTTTGATCTATATACGTTTACAAAAAAAACATATTTATGTTCTTTTATCTATCGGTATAAAAGAAAGCATTAATGTTTGTTCTTTTGATGTCACAAAAAATGTCTGTGTCCATGATTAGCCTATCTCTCAGCTTAATGAACATTGTGGCTGATCAGCCCACTCGCAGCTTAATGAACATTGTGGTTGATCAGCCCACTCGCAGCTTAATGAACATTGTGGTTGATCAGCCCACTCGCAGCTTAATGAACATTGTGGTTGATCAGCCCACTCGCAAACCTGGTTCGGTATATTAGGATGGGTTGTGTCTTTATGTATGATTTCAGTGGGTTGGGTGGGGCCGGGTTCGTTGGTTTATGCTTGTGCTGATTTAGACAAAACAGAATTAATCTCGTCATTAATTAGCCTTGCAAATTAGGGCATAAATTAATTCGTTTTGTTGGTTTATTCCGAGTTTACACGGGATTTGAAAAATACTTCTTCCAGACTTTTTTCTCCTGGGAGGGGGGACGGGGACGACTTGAAATTTTCGGGGAAGGGGCGAACTAAAATTTCCAGGGTGGGGGGGGGGGGGCGGACACTGGTAAACTCTATTTCGTTGTGAGGGGAGGTAGACGTTTTTCGGTGTGGGGCTGAGTCCCCCCTCCCTCACCGAAGATATGCCTGAAAGAGATGGTTGATTTCATTATATTGTTGTCTGGGTTTATTTGAGAAGTTAAAGTATCTGTGTTTCATCTAATGAATGGACAGATTTGTAATTCACTGGTTTGGTATGTGTGGATGAGCAAAAAAAAATGGCGACAACGACGTTGAGTAAATATGACGTTGGGGCAGTCTCAAGGTCAGGGAAGTTTATTTGCGGTTTCGTTTGCTGTGTTTACTCACCATGACTTTCTTGGCCACTTGGTGCTCACACGTACAAATGTCTGATACTAGACCTGTTTGTTTAACTATTTCCTATCACATGACCTGTTTATTTAACTAATATATATCAATGTACTATTTTTTTATCTAATATATATCACTAATCTAACAGTACTTCAGTTTATTTTAGCTAACCAGTTTAACGTGTCCAACAAATATCTATAGACTGGTCTATTGTACAGTTTTGTCGACGCCCCAATAAAGAGCTGTATACAACATACAATAACTCATGACTGTCGGGTTCAAATCCCGCTCAGACCACAGTTCTCTATCGCTAATACCTGAGCCGACCCAGCTCCATTGAGTGCCCTAACAGAATTGTTCATTATGATCTATGATAATACGTCTTCACCACAATATACATTATAACATATTGATGCTAATGTGCTACGAAACTGGCTTTAATTGATATGAAATATGTGGAGGGGGAGGGGGGTAAGTACGTGAAAAAATAAAGTTGCTTAAAGTTTAGTCAAAGAGTCTACTTTTTAAACAAGGCAATAATTTTAAACAAAATGTCCATTTTTTTAAATTCCTTCTTGGCAACTTCATAAAAAGCCTGTATCTGGCAACTAGGAAGTATGAACTAATTTCTCCCATATCGATCGAATACTTCCCCTCCCCCACCCACCCACGAACACCCCCCCCCCCCCCCCCCCCCAGTTTAGTGCCGATTAAAGCTCAACCATCAATTCACGCTTCGTTGACTTTTTAAATTTCGCCGTGGTCGTGTTGAATGACGGGAAAAATGTCGTCACTTAGACTTCCAGCCAATCAAAACGTTGCACGCAAAAACCCCAAGTTCGAGGACGTCATTAGAAGTTGTGTACGCGTCCATCGTGTATAAAATCTGTTTAGTGCAACACGTTTGATTTTATATTTTTAATTTTTGATAGCACTGACATTTTTTTTTTAAAATCAAGACTCTAACACACATTAATTAAGGAATAATTTGGTCGATATACGATATTATATATATATATATATATATATATATATATATATATATATATATATATATATATATATATATATATATATATATATATATATATAATTTGCTTTCTTTAATAAAAGCACTAGTCGCCAAAATGTGTAGGAGATTTCACAAGCGACCAGTGTTTTTATTCAAGAAAGGAAATTAGTTTTATTTTCATATTTTCTATGCAATTAACAGCTTATAATTCTAGAGGGGTTTTTTTTTTGTGTTTAATTTGTTCTGACTTGTTGTTACTGTGGAGGCCTACGATCACATTGTAGATGTTTACCACCGATAGCCGATCTATTTCTTAAAGTCCAACGTTATTCAAACAAATTTGTTGTTCACACATCCACCTCCATATGCCCGCCCCCCCTCCGTCCCGTCTCGTCCCCATCCCCCCCCCCCGTCCCCCACGACAACAACAGGGTATAATCCACTAGAGCTCGCTTGACTGTCCACGCAGTCCATACCGGCTAGTGACAGTCAATTTGCCGTGAGTTTCCGGCCTTTCCGGTCGTCACGTGTTTAATCCCACATCACGTCTGCTGAGACACAGGCGCCGGCAGACAAACACAGATGTAAGGAGTCAAGGGTTGGTCTAATCCTACAGATGTAAGGAGTCAAGGGCCGGTCTAATCCTACAGTATGTGATTACACTGTAAGGGCTGGTGTAATCCTACAGTCTGTGATTACACTGTAAGGGCTGGTCTAATCCTACAGTCTGTGATTACACTGTAAGGGTTGGTCTAATCCTACAGTCTGTGATTACACTGTAAGGGCTGGTCTAATCCTACAGTCTGTGATTACACTGTAAGGGCTGGTCTAATCCTACAGTCTGTAAGGGCTGGTCTAATCCTACAGTCTGTAAGGGCTGGTCTAATCCTACAGTCTGTGAGGGCTGGTCTAATCCTACTGTCTGTGATTACACGATTACACTGTAAGGGCTGGTCTAATCCTACAGTCTGTGATTACACTGTAAGGGCTGGTCTGTGAATAAAAATAAACTGAAAAATAAAAATGTCCTGGAAATAGAGTCAAGCTCCATTGAAAGGAATGTTGGTATAATCTAATCTTTTAATCCAAATCCCTGTACCCAATCTTTCGCAGGATAAACTACCAACAAAATCCTGGAGTAAATAATCAATCACGTGAACTCTACTCCACCTGTACTGCATCTGTTTCTGTTCTATTTGATTTTTTTCAGTCTATGCTACGTATACGCTGTAAGGCACGTGACTTTTCTGTAATCAGTGCTTTGAATAGATTAGGGAAGGTAGTAACTCTTATCAGTGGCATACCTAGGGGGAGGGGTGGGTGTGGCGGCCGCCAAAAGGTGTAAAAAAAACAACTAAAAGCTGAAGTATTCAAATAGACACGGTCAACGCTCAGAAAATAAACCTCTCCAAGACTTAACACGCTGATTGCACTGTTGTCTACATCAAATAAATGGTACCAAAATAAAAGCTGTTTTAGGGTAGTGACTATTAAAAAGCGACACCAACCTTTTCGAATAGGGGAGGGAAGGGGGCAATTTATCAACATGAATTACTATAATATAAATGGGAGGGGGGCACAAAATTGATAGTCTTCCCCGGGTGCCGGAATGGGTCGCTACGCCTCTGTCTCGTACGGCTTGACTGAGTTCCTCAGACTAAAATATCTCTGGCTACTACTGTTTGGGGATTCTTGTTCCATTACCAGCATCCAGTTATGTCTTTTCTCCTGTCACAATCTACTCAAACCTCACCCAACTATAAAACACAATTTTTAAATGATCTAAATTTGTACTTTCACCACATCACTTTTGCTTTAGTTCACGTTATAGAAATTAACATTAGACACAACATTTAAAAAAAAAATTGTAATATGTTCATGTAAGGTTAATGTGGGACAGCGTTGTCTAACTGTTTAGAGCGCTAGGCTTCGAGCACGAAAGTCTCGAGTTTGAATCATGGTCCAAGTCAGTAAGCGTCCCTGTCCACTCAGCTCTGATGGGTACTTAACTCACGTTAGTGAAAGTAAAGGCGGCTGGGCAAAGTGATGACCACACCTTCTCTTAAAATGCCTAGGTCAAGAAATATATGAACTCTACTTCATCTGCCCAATGGATAGCTAGGTCTATAGAGTATTCTTTATGTTAGAGTGACAAATATTGTGTTATAATAATAAAATGTGTTAATATAATAAAATAAATATTAATAATACATAGGCAATAGAGCACCACTTTGTGAAAGAACATCAAACCTTTATCATGACCTTTTTCTATAAACAAAACATAAAAAAAATCTCCCCTACCCCGTTATAAAAAAAAAACATCAACCCTTTTATTTATTTCAGATTGTCCAGGGCGGGACGTTCGTCCAGCTGAACCCCACCCCTGAGGCTCAGGGGAAGGCGCTGACCAAGATCATTGGACAGTTCAACATCAAGCAGACGGTGATGATCGTAGAGAACAATCGGATGGCAGACGGCTTCCTACACGGCGTGAGGAACGCCATCAACTTCAGGACACAGGACATCTTCTACGTGCTGGCACTAGACTCTAACATAGGGTAGGTCTTTAGCTCTTAGCTCTAGTCATCAAATGGACTCTAACATAGGGTAGGTCTTTAACTCTAGACATCAACTTAACTCTTATGGACTTTTAGTTCGGAGCTAGACTAACATGGGGTAGGTCTTTAGCTCTTAGATGTAGACATCAACTGGACTCTAACATAGGGTAGGTCTTTAGCTCTTAGCTCTAGACATCAACTGGACTCTAACATAGGGTAGGTCTTTAGCTCTAGACATCAACTTAACTCTTATGGACTTTTAGTTCGGAGCTAGACTAACATGGGGTAGGTCTTTAGCTCTTAGCTCTAGACATCAACTTCAGGACACAGGACATCTTCTACGTGCTGGCACTAGACTCTAACATAGGGTGGGTCTTTAGCTCTTAGCTCCATGGACTTTTAGCTCGGAGCTAGACTAACATGGGGTAGGTCTTTAGCTCTTAGCTCTAGACATCAACTTCAGGACACAGGACATCTTCTACGTGCTGGCACTAGACTCTAACATAGGGTAGGTCTTTAGCTCTTAGCTCTAGACATCAACTGGACTCTAATATAGGGTAGGTCTTTAGCTCTTAGCTCCATGGACTTTTAGCTCGGAGTTAGACTAACATGGGATAGGTCTTTAGCTCTTAGCTCTAGACATCAACTGGACTCTAACATAGGGTAGGTCTTTAGCTCTTAGATCTAGACATCACCTGAACTCTAACATAGAATAGGTCTTTAGCTCTTAGCTCTAGGGACTTTTAGGTCGGAGCTAGACTCTTTAACATGGGGTAAGTCCTTAGCTCTTAGCTCTAGACATCAACTGGATTCTAATAGAGGATGGGTCTTTAGCTCTTAGCTCCAGGGACTTTTAGCTCGGAGCTAGACTAACTAGATATACAGTAACAAAGGTTAGGTTTTAGCGCTATCTCCATGGCAGTTTTAGCTCGGAGCTAAACTTACTCTAATAAAGGGTAGTCCTTTAGTTCTTAGAACCAGACACTAATTTAATGACACAAGACATATGCTATGAGCTGGCAATTAACTCTAATATAGGGGTCTTTAGCTCTTAGCTCTATGAACAATTCAGTTCGGAGCAAGACTCGGGGCTAGACACTATATTGTAGGTCTTTAGCTCTTAGCTCCATGAACTTTAAGCTCGGAGTTAGCTTTAGTATAACAAAGGTTAGGTGCTTAGCGCTGATCTCCAAACAGTTTTAGCTCGAAGCTTGTCTTACTGCAACATGTTTTATGAGGTAAATGCTTAGGCCTAGCTCTGTCGCAATGCAACAAACACCCGCTTTGTTTCAAATCGCAACAGCCCCAGCCTTTTAAAAATCCTCCTATAGATTTGTAAACACGATAAAACTGTTATTTACTCTTCATCCCAGCCGTGATCGTAAACAAATCGATCCCTACACAACGATCGGTGACGTCACACATGCATGTTTCGATGTAAAAAAAAATTCCATGTAAATTATTTTTAACGAGATCCCCAGGCAACGATCTGTTATTCCGTCTTCATGCCAAGAACATCGAAACAAAAAAAATAAACAATTTCCCATCCGATCCAAGTATTTTTGTTTCAAAGACAGCCGGCCCCACGCTTTTTTTTCCAAGTCGTCTGTCGTGTCGTCTGCTATTTAAAAACTGGCGCTAACGGCTGATTACACTGGCTGAAAAATAATCATTTCAACTGCTTGATTAAGTCAACACAAAGGTGAAAATATTTCAGTTTTTCTTTTCTGTTTTTTTTGGGTTGATTCTCGCAATTTTAAAACTCTAGACTTTGCTGGATTTCAAGGGCTAGTTTTCTCTTTATTTTCCCCTCTTTTTCACCTCACAAATTGTTTACGTGTGGGTTCAAGATTTCGTTTTTCTATTGTTTAATAAATATTTTCTCCTGTAAATATTGGCAGCTCTAGTTACAACAATGCTGGGTTTTTCTTCTTCTTCGTTCTTAATTTTAGTGTTGGAAGGGATAGAGCCTTATCTGCCAGAGAGTTTGAACTCGAGACTTTTTCGAAGTTATCAACCATGAGCTTTTTGGCGACCACTCGACCACGCCCCCATCACAAGGATACGTGTCAACTGGTTATGCGCCATTAAGGCCACTGAATCCGATTTCAGCCGACTTTTCTTTTTGGATTTGCCTCCATAGCCTTTGTCCAACCAAGAACAAACTACAAGGCAGCAGTTGTTTGATTTTTGAGTTGTCTCTCCTAGAAGAGTGGCTGTCCCCAGCTAACGAACCTCATCTGCCCGAGGGTTCGAACTCGAGACTTTTCGGTTTAGCAACCATGAGCTTTACCGACCCCTAATGCTGGATTAGGTCCCTTGAGTCCAAAATCTGAGTGCCACTAGGCACATGACGTCAAATTGTAATTAACGTATTCTAATTATTTAAAAAAAAAAATACAAGCGACACTTAATTTTTTTTTAAATTATACTTCACCCTCTAATATTAAAATAAATTTAGAATTTGCTACCAGATCTCGAAATACATAGAGTAAGTGAAGTAGGCATCAACGGTTCCTTTGGTTCAGACTTTCCAAACATGGTTGAGAGGTCAACACAATGCCCAGCTGTCTTTCCCCGATTCCAGTCAGGTACCCGCTAGAGCTGGGTGGACTCAGAGACACGAAGGGTTCTCGAGCTCGGGAACCTAACACCTTCGGGTTAGCAATCAAATGCTCTACTGCTCGACCACGCCATCCCACAAAACCAATGAAAATATAATTCAATGTATTTAGCTCACCTGATTAGCGTTGTTTACATAGATCGTTACATGACAGCATACGTTACAACACGGTAGCATAGGGACGGGGTGGTAGGATGGTAGAGCTTTTGGCTGCTAGCCCGGAGGTCTCGAGTTCGAATCTCGTTTCGGACTTGAGACTGTAGACATTCATTAGTCCAACCAGCTCTGATGGGTAGGCTACCTGACATACTTAAAGCAAACTTAAAATGGCTGGGCATAGTGTTGCCGAGCTAAAAAAATATATATGAACTCCACTTTATTTTCCAAATAAATGGGTCGCTAGGCCTAAAGTGGAATCTTTATAATACGGTGGCATACGGTAGGAAAGAGGGAAAATATCAATTGAGGGATGGGGATGATTAACTTGTTTAAGATACCGTGTTCCTTCAAAGTTTTTAATGCACTTGACCAAATACACAAAACTGGAATTGGCTTTCATATGGTCACAAATGCCATTTAAACCGAGTTAAAAAGAAAAACCAACACACTGGCTCTACTCTACTCTACCTACATTGTTTGCCGAAAGGTGCGTGACCAATTAGCTCTAAAACATGAATAACTCTACTCCACCTGCTACGGTAGCGGAAACGTGCATTACTCACCCCTGCTCGACGTACACCCGTGAAGCCTGAGACAGTCACGTGATACGGGTTGATTGAATTAACCCCCAGCAGTGCACTTTTTAAAGCGACCTCCTCAAACATCTCCTACAAAACCTTTTATCAATCGATGAGGCCGGCATGAATACTTTCATCCAATCAAGTCAGTCCTTACATCGGAAATGAAACCATTGAGCGAGTCAGCCAATGGGATGAGGTTTAAAGGAGTTTGTGGATTCCCCAGCACGACCTTGCTTGGTTAGGTTTAGGCCGTGCTTGAAAACGGACGGAGTTAACCACGTGGTTTCGTTAGGGTTAGGATGATTTAGAAGTGTTGAGGGAAGTGGGGTATTACTCATTTACATTTGGAGAATTGTTTAGGGGGCGGGCGAAGTTTAAGGGGGTGGAGAGGGAGGTCATTTGGGGCGTGAATTTAATACGACCAACGCTGAAAGGCGGGAAAACTCTGAAATACTTTACTGCAACTGAATGTGGAGCAGACGATCTGATGTAATATACCACGTGACGTCTGGGGTGTTGGAGGCTTCACTAGGGTTTTCTTACCTGGGGGGTGGGAATGAGAGGGACAGGGGAGGGAGGTGGTGGTTGATGAGGGAAGCTCGTCATGGAGTTAAGATATCTGTCTTGCTGTGGGTTATGCTCACAAAACTATTTTTAGCCTGCGCTTGCCTTCAAGTCTAGGACGTTCATTGCCAGAACAATTTTTTGGCCTCCGCAACCATTTTTTTAATTTATTTCACTCACGTTTAACATGTATTGAAGTGTATTTACTTGTCAAAATAAATAAAGTTATGGCAATAATTTTTATAAAGATGAGATAAATTGCCTTGACTGATGTTAGCACCTATTAAGCTGATTACTCCAGTAATTATGTTTCAGGAGAGAGCTACTCCTGCAGAAACTGACCAACTTGTCCGACACTGGCTGGAAGATTATCGCCCTTCACTGCACGCCCCGTCTGATGGTTCGTGTGGTCACCGCGGCCTTGTCTACACACCTGTACAACACGGGGCATGCCTGGTTTCTTAGTGAGCTGGCTTTCAGGTGGGTGGGTTGGCTGGTGGGTGGGTGGGTGGGTGGGTGGGTGGGTGGGTGGGTGGGTGGGTGGGTGGGTGGGTGGGTAGGTTGGTGGGTTGTGGGTTGGAGGATGATTGGCAGGGTGAGTCGGTGGGTTGGTTATTGGGTGGGTTGTCCACACACCTGTACAATACAGGGCATGCCTGGTTTCTTAGTGAGCTGGCTTTCAGGTAGGTGGGTGGTTGGTGAGTGGTTGGGTAAGTTAACTGGTGGGTGGATGGGTGGGTGGTTCAGTGGTTGGTGGGTGGGTGGGTGGGTAGGTTGGTTGTTCGGTCGTTTGGTGTGTTGGTAAGTGCTTGCTACTTGATTCCTTCTCAATACCTGCATACAATTGATATTCCTATCACGCAGCTCTAAAACGTTCTTTACGTTCTTTCAATGTGGCCGATATGTGGTCCTCATATGCGGCTTAGAAAAAAATGTTGCCCACATTGAAGGCTCCATTATATGCGGCCCATATTGACGGCTCATCTCAGTGATGTCTGGTGTTATTTTTTTGTCCGAGATCTACATTCGAGAAATGGCATCGCCACAGCTTTCTGTGATTTTCAGCTCTAAGTGTATAATTAGATGTGATGTGGCGGGGGGGGGGGGGGCAGTGATGGGGGCAGAGGTGGTGGCAGGGATGTGGGCAGGAAAGGTAAGGTAAGGGAAGAAAGGCTTCACAGAACGTGGGTTGGGGGTGAGGGAAGGAGTAAGGTGTCAGGAAAACTGTGGGGGGGGGGGAGGATTTGAAAATAGTTTCGGTAGCAAAAGTGAGAAAGTGATATACACAGATGACAACTAGTAGTCCTATTTCTTGGTAGTCATTTAAAGGTTTGATGTTGTCTTTTTGAGGGATTGGTGATAAAACATATTGGCCATCTCATGATAGAACATATTGGCCATGTTATGATAGAACATATTGGCCATGTTATGATAGAACATATTGGCCATGTTATGATAGAACATATTGGCCATGTTATGATAGAACATATTGGCCATCTTGGTCAATCAAATATGTGTGTTGTCAGGATTGAACGTCACATCCATATTTCATAACTGATACATGTGCATATTAATGATCGATTACAAAATAATGTTTATCGCATTCACCCCTCCCCCTCATACACGTACAATCGCACATAATTTTTCGCTCTACATGTATAGGTTTTGTTAAGTCAGAAAAATGTGACGGAACGACACATTGTTGATATTTTACACACACACCCGGTGACCCCCACAAAACTGACAGTTACATCTCCTACGTGACGTCACATATTGACAGTTCACACACCAACCACGTGACGTCACTATTCACACACCAACCATGTGACGTCACATATTGACAGTTCACACACCAACCACGTGACGTCACAGTTCACACACCAACCATGTGACGTCACTATTCACACACCAACCATGTGACGTCACATATTGACAGTTCACACACCAACCACGTGACGTCACAGTTCACACACCAACCACGTGACGTCACTATTCACACACCAACCACGTGACGTCACTATTCACACACCAACCACGTGACATCACAGTTCACACACCAACCACGTGACGTCACAGTTCACACACCAACCACGTGACTTGACTGACACGCGTCACGCCCACTCTTTCAGCCGTGACCAAGACATCATCCAACAACTGCCCGAGGGTCTCCTGGCTATCGACAGCTTCTGGCTGGGCGGCATCCCCAAGCTGATGGTCAAGGCGCTCGACTACGTCATCACGGCCACTTCCTGTTATCTCCGTGACGACGACAGGGGCAGCAACTTCTCCGTGCCTTACGATCTGAAGACCCTGGTCAAGGGAAATAACTCTAAAGTTTTCTATACAGAGTTCAGGAACGTGTCGGACTTTCCTGCAGGGTTTAAAAGGTAGGTGGTCGATTTTAAGGTAGGTGGTCGATTTTATGGTAGGTGGTCGATTTTAAGGTAGGTGGCTGATTCAAGGTAAAAGGTTCATTTAAGATAAAAGAGTGATTTAATTAAAAAACAAAAAAGTGACTGATTTAAAATAGTTTACCCCAAACTGCAGGCTTTTCTATAGTTGGAGCTTCAGTGAAAACAGTTTGATGTAGTATTAAAAAGATGCAGATTTTGTAGTGTTTCTTATTATAGATCAGAATAATGTACCAGTTTTTAGACGTATAACTGAATTCAATTACGTCTTTCAGTGCGTCGCATTTTAACAACAGACACAATAAACACACTGTATTTCAAAATTGAAAATGCTTTTACTGTGATTTAAGCTGAATTAATTGTGTTTAATCACTAATTGTTTTGTAGTGTTTTTAGAAGAAAACAACGAATGTGTTACATTTTATTACACATACACACAAAAGTTTCAGCTAAACATTTGATTTACAGTTTTGTCCAATATCAGAATTTTCATTTCTAGAACTGTTTAGCAATTATGTGTACAATAATATTCTTGATTATACTTTTTTTAAATTCACAATATTTTGTTCAAAATTTCTCAGAAAGCTTATCACCAAAACCGACATTCTAAAATCTATTATATTTTTGTACTAGATGCCTCAGAAACTACATCGTTGACAGCGACAATACTTCAGTAGACGATACACTCGATGGGGATGATGTGAACAGCATGTCCGATAACTCTGCTCTGGACAGCGATTATTTCAAGGGAGACACACACGAGCAATCTGTAGAAGGGGCAGACTACTTCCAGGGCCCCGCCTTCTACCTGCTCAACACCGTCAACAATGGCGGTAGGACCAGGATATGGGCCAAGGTTGGTTACATCACGGTCAGCGGTCGGCGGGACTTAAGGACCGTACTCTGGCCAGGTAAGTGTCCACGGTGTTTTGTATCTTATGGTTTATAATGGTGTCCAATTGTATTGCCAGTTAGTTCGACAGTTTTATAGAACTCGGTGGTCGATTATATTGCCAGGTAACACTGTAGAAAAGTTGTTGCAACCAGAATATTTTTCGGTATTGAAGTAAATACACCTCATTCTAAGGAAGAATGATCCATATTCTATCATTTCTATGTCACAATATCCATCGTCCATCTCTAATATCATAAGGTCCCAGTTTTTATCGTCCAAATTTGTTATCTTTAGGTTAGGATATTTGTGGTCCATCTCTGCCATGTTTATGTCACAATATTTATGGTCCATCTCTACCATCTTTAGGTCACAATATTTATGGTCCATATTCTACAATATTTAGGTCAGAATATTTATGGTCTATGTTATACCATTTTAGGTCACAATATTTTTGGTCCATATTCTACCATCTTTAGGTCACAATATTTACGGTCCCTGTTCTATCACCTTTAGGTCACAATATTTATGGTCCATCTCTACCATCTTTAGGTCACAATATTTATGGTCTATGTTCTACCATCTTTAGGTCACAATATTTATGGTCCATCTCTACCATCTTTAGGTCACAATATTTATGGTCCCTATTCTACCATCTTTAGGTCACAATATTTATGGTCCATCTCTACCATATTTAGGTCACAATATTTATGGTCTATGTTCCTACCATCTTTAGGTCACAATATTTATGGTCCATGTTATACCACTTTGGGTCACAATATTTATGGTCCATATTCTGCCATCTTTAGGTCACAATATTTATGGTCCATATTCTACCACCTTAAGGTCACAATATTTATGGTCCATATTCTACCATCTTTAGGTCACAATATTTATGGTCCATATTCTACCATCTTTAGGCCACAATATTTATGGTCCATATTCTACCATCTTAAGGTCACAATATTTATGGTCCCTATTCTACCATCTTTAGGTCACAATATTTATGGTCCATATTCTACCATCTTTAGGTCACAATATTTATGGTCCATATTCTACCATCTTAAGGTCACAATATTTATGGTCCATATTCTACCATCTTTAGGTCACAATATTTATGGTCCATATTTTACCATCTTTAGGTCACAATATTTATGGTCCATATTCTACCATCTTTAGGTCACAATATTTATGGTCCATATTCTACCATCTTAAGGTCACAATATTTATGGTCCATATTCTACCATCTTTAGGTCACAATATTTATGGTCCATATTCTACCATCTTTAGGTCACAATATTTATGGTCCATCATCCAACACGGTCAAGACATACCGTGTAGTCACGAGACAGGCCGAGCCGTTTGTCAGCATCTCAAACCGTGTTGCAAGGAAAGAGGATTGTTTCGTGGATGTTCCGTGTCTACAGGTGCCGTGATGGTGTATTTGTATTGTGTGCTTACATATTTACACACGCATACACTCATACATGTACATAAATACACGCATGCACGCTCACACACACTCAGTTATACAAATGGCACGTACATATTTACGACATGTACACTCACCTACTCATGTACACACACAAACACACTCACATACACACACATACACAAATTCATACACAAGCATATACACAGTCACACACACACACACACACACACACACACACACACACACACACACACACACACACAAACACACATAAGCTCACCCGGGTTGTTTTTTGTTGTTGTTTTTTTTTTGGAACTTGACACTGTTACAACAGAAATACCAAATCTCACTATTTAGTGGATGCTTTATCTTGTTCTCACATATTGCGTCTCATTGTATCCACGCTGACATCCACAGCTAAAGAACATGTCCCAGGTCATGCTGACCTACGCCGTGGATGACTTCCAGACAAACGAGATGCGTCTGGTCAACGACCAGTACACCATCCACTGCTGCAAGGGGCTGACCCTGGACATACTGACTGCCCTGGCGCGGGACTTGAACTTCAGGTAGGCAGGATGTGAACTTTAGGTAGGCCGGATGTGAACTTCAGGTAGGCCGCATGTGAACTTTAGGTAGGCCGGATGTGAACTTTAGGTAGGCCGGATGTGAACTTTAGGTAGGCCGGATGTGAACTTTAGGTAGGCAGGGTGTGAACTTAAGGTGGGTCAGCTTTAGGCGGGGTTGGCTACTGGTTGTCAAGTAGGGTTGGATGGTTTACGCCAGAAAGTTTGTTGGTACGTTATGGGGTGGTGTAGGTGAATATCAGAAGAGGGTTGGGTGTGTCAAAGTTGATGTTTGGCTGTTACATTGAAAGTAGTGTTGGTTGATCAACTTCAAGGGCTGGTTGGTTGTTGCTTGCAAAATATATTTTTCATCATTTACTTGACTGGCAGGTACATCATTTACTTTGTATTGACTGACACTGACAGATACTTCATTTATTTGACCGACAGGTACAACATTTACTTTGTATTGACCAACAGGTACATCATTTACTTTGTCAACGACACGGACTACGGCACCAACGTGAGCAAGAATAACGTCAACTGGACGGGCATGGTGGGTGACGTCATGCACGGCACGGCAGATATCATTGCCGGAGCCTTCAGCGCCACGTCCGAGCGCTCGTCCGTCATCGACTTCACGGAGCCGTTCTTCCAGAACCAGTTCCTGATGGTCACAGCAGAGGAGGGCCACTACGTGTCCATCTGGGCCTTCATGAGTCCTTTCTCTGGTCAGGTCAGTCAATGGGGTCAGGTCGGTCAATGGGGTCAGGTCAGTCAATGGGGTCAGGTTGGTCAATGGGGTCAGGTCGGTCAATGGGGTCAGGTTGGTCAATGGGGTCAGGTCGGTCAGTGGGGTGTGGTAAGGTCAGTCAATGGGTTCAGGTCAGTCAATAGGGTCAGGTCGGTCAATGGGGTCAAGGGTCAATGGGGTCAGGTCGGTCAATGGGGTCAGGTCGGTCAGTGGGGTGTGGTAAGGTCAGTCAATGGGTTCAGGTCAGTCAATGGGTTCAGGTCAGTCAATAGGGTCAGGTCGGTCAATTGGGGTCAAGGGTCAATGGGGTCAGGTCGGTCAATGGGGTCAGGTCGGTCAATGGGGTCAGGTCGGTCAATGGGGTCAGGTCGGTCAATGGGGTCAGGTCGGTCAATGGGGTCAGGTCGGTCAATGGGGTCAGGTCGGTCAATTGGGTCAGGTAGGTCAATGGGGTCAGGTCGGACAATGAGGTCAGTCAATGGGGTCAGGTCGGTCAATGGGGTCAGGTCGGTCAATGGGGTCAGGTCGGTCAATAGGGTCAGGTCGGTCAATTGGGGTCAAGGGTCAATGGGGTCAGGTCAGTCAATGGGGTCAGGTCGGTCAATGGGGTCAGGTCGGTCAATGGGGTCAGGTCGGTCAATGGGGTCAGGTCGGTCAATGGGGTCAGGTCGGTCAATGGGGTCAGGTCGGACAATGGGGTCAGGTCAGTCAATGGGGTCAGGTCGGTCAATGGGGTCAGGTCAGTCAATGGGGTCAGGTCAGTCAATGGGGTCAGGTCAGTCAATTGGATCAGGTCATTAAATGGGATCATGATAGATAATGGGGGGGGGTCATTTCAGTTTATGTGGTCAGGTCAGTTAAAGTTGTGCATTTTACAAGGAAAAAATTGTTGTTTTTTACATTGTCTACTCATTATTTGTTCATTACTGATTTTTTTACGTACCTCAACGTATATTTGGCAAATATTTGTATATTTTACGTAGCGAGTTCTATAAGAGTATTCTGATTTGTATAACATTGACACCAATGACAAATAATTCCCAGGCATTACTTAATGCATTGGTTATAAACAGCTGACTCCTCTACAGTGGAGTCTATGACGCAGCGTCTCTCACATCCAAGCCTCGTATTTCAGGTCTGGCTGTGCATCTTCCTGAGCTCTATCGTGGCCGGCATAGCCACCGCCTTCCTGGAGTGGCACAGTCCCTTCGGCCTCAACCCCAAGGGTAGGAAGCGGACCAAGAACTACGGCCTGGGGTCGGGGCTGCTGATGGTCATGGTGCTCTTGACCGGCCACACCATTAACATCAAGGTCAGAATAGACGACATCTGGACATATTTTTACATTTATATATCTTCTGTGTGCTCTGTAATGTATTTTAGACTATCCTTTCCTGTATGTACATAGTAATGTGTTTTACACAGATTAGTCTATAGTTTAGACTACTCTTTCCTGTACTTAGGCCTACAAAGTAATGTGTTTTACACAGTTCTTGCCTGTATGTATAGCTATGTACTGTATAACGGTTCTTTCCTTGGTGTAGGTATTGTTATGTGTATTTTTTAAAAACTATTCTGAATGTAGGCCTACAGTCATGATTGTATTTTAATACTGTTCTTTTCTGCATTGCCTATTAATAAATGTAGGTTTACATTTTTATCCTGAATGTATAGTAATGTATTTTAACACTTTTCGTATGGTCTTTTCCTGTATGTATAATGTTACAGCGAAGTTTACACTTTTATTTCGTTTGTGTGTATATAGGTGTTATAAATGTAATTTATAAATGTAATTTATTTTCTCCTTCCAAAGGCGCCGAAAAGTTGGCCAGGGAAGGTCATCCAAAACGTGTGGGCCGGTTTGGCCATCTTCATCATGACCAGCTACACGGCCAACCTGGCAGCTTATCTCGCTGGCCAATCAGCGGTCAGCGCCGTGAAAAGCTTCAACGACCCGGATGTGAGTACTTTAAGCCGCCAGTAATAGCCGTTCGGGGACGGCTGACTTCCGGTTAAAAACGAAAAATGACCGGCAGTGACTGGTTCTAAATGTAAATTTGTCTGAGCTAGATGAGGCTTCCATCCATCTTTGGACTTTTGATTGTGGGGCTACAAGATTGTTTCCTATCCTCCCAACACAATGTGTCCTGTCCTCCCAACACAATGTGTCCTCCCAACACAATGTGTCCTGTCCTCCCAACACACATGTGTCCTGTCCTCCCAACACAATGTGTCCTCCCAACACAATGTGTCCTGTCCTCCCAACACACATGTGTCCTGTCCTCCCAACACAATGTGTCCTCCCAACACAATGTGTCCTGTCCTCCCAACACACATGTGTCCTGTCCTCCCAACACAATGTGTCCTCCCAACACAATGTGTCCTGTCCTCCCAACACACATGTGTCCTCCCAACACAATGTGTCCTGTCCTCCCAACACAGATGTGTCCTGTCCTCCCAACACAATGTGTCCTCCCAACACAATGTGTCCTCCCAACACAATGTGTCCTGTCCTCCCAACACAATGTGTCCTCCCAACACAATGTGTCCTCCCAACACAATGTGTCCTGTCCTCCCAACACACATGTGTCCTGTCCTCCCAACACAATGTGTCCTCCCAACACAATGTGTCCTGTCCTCCCAACACACATGTGTCCTGTCCTCCCAACACACATGTGTCCTCCCAACACAATGTGTCCTCCCAACACAATGTGTCCTGTCCTCCCAACACACATGTGTCCTGTCCTCTCAACACACATGTGTCCTCCCAACACAATGTGTCCTCCCAACACAATGTGTCCTGTCCTCCCAACACAATGTGTCCTCCCAACACAATGTGTCCTCCCAACACAATGTGTCCTGTCCTCCCAACACACATGTGTCCTGTCCTCCCAACACAATGTGTCCTCCCAACACAATGTGTCCTGTCCTCCCAACACACATGTGTCCTGTCCTCCCAACACACATGTGTCCTCCCAACACAATGTGTCCTCCCAACACAATGTGTCCTGTCCTCCCAACACACATGTGTCCTGTCCTCCCAACACACATGTGTCCTGTCCTCCCAACACATGTGTCCTGTCCTCCCAACACACATGTGTCCTCCCAACACAATGTGTCCTCCCAACACACATGTGTCCTGTCCTCCCAACACACATGTGTCCTCCCAACACAATGTGTCCTCCCAACACAATGTGTCCTGTCCTCCCAACACAATGTGTCCTCCCAACACAATGTGTCCTGTCCTCCCAACACAATGTGTCCTCCCAACACAATGTGTCCTGTCCTCCCAACACAATGTGTCCTCCCAACACAATGTGTCCTGTCCTCCCAACACACATGAGTTCTCCCAACACGATGTACTGACCTTCATTTCTTGCTGCGAGCTAACGCGACCAGCGATCAGAGAGAGGTTCTCAAACAGATCTCAGGGTGCTTAGATCAAATATCTATCCCAACATCAGGTTTCGCTGTATCCCATCGATCTGTTTATCTTGTGACAAAAATTGATTCTTCTAATCTGATCACTTCCTCACCTCGAGAGCGCTTCTTTGTTTACATTCGATTAGGTTTTTTTTTTCTTTTCATATTTTTGCATCCATTTTCACATCATTTTTTTTCTTTATTTTCGTGAATTTATTTACAGCTTATTCTCTATTTTTAGCCGATTCTTCAGTGTAAAGAAAAATTTGCATTACTTGCAAATTTTTCTTTACACTGAAGTATTTATTTGCTTTACAGACGATTCTTACAACACGCGCAAATTTTTCTTTACACTGAAATATTTATTTGCTTTACAGACGATTCTTACTTCACCTGAAAGCCTATCTCTACATTTAATTCTTTCTTCACATCAAAATCTTAATTTTAACTAATTTTTATTTCTTCACATTCATTTACCTTTTCCAATCCAACTTTTACAATTGTCATCTACTCCCCTATCACAAAGAGAATGTCTATTCATAGTCAAATAGCTCTCAGAAGGCTAGTCGTAGTCCGCTATTTTTAGCCGACCAATTGATTTATTTCTAAATTTATTGTCCTGCGCATGTGCAAATTTTACTTTAGGGTTTAAGGTTGGGCATTAAGGTTGGGTTTAGGGTAGGGATAAATGATTAAGATTAGAGGCAGAGGCGTGTCCAGGTTTTCGGATTAGGGGGAGCGAAAATAGCAAAAAAAAGGCGCCGAATTTGTAATATCTTATATATATATATATATATATATATATATATATATATATATATATATATATATATATATATATATATATATATATATATATATATATATATATATATACTTCAACCAAAAACAATGAACGCAGCATAATCTGTTTCGGCATGGTACTTTGGTACATCATTACGCGTTTTCCCAAATTTACTTAACAGATGAGTTCTAGGTGGGTTTGGGGGGGGGGGGGGGGTTCAACTTCATTCACCACTGTCCGGTCACTTTAGGTCAATTATGCAACCCAGCGTATACCTAGGTGTGACATTAATGTCGCTCTACACAATTGTGGTGGTGAGGTGGGGGTGGGGGGGGGGGGGATAACCAACTCAGAATGAACATAGCGTCAGTTTTAGATGACTGTTCTAAACATAGGGGTCATCCATAAATGACGTCACGCTTTTTTTGACGATTTTTACCTCCCCCCCTCCTCTCTGTCACACGTCGTCACAAAAAGCCAGACCCCCCTGTAAAATGACGTAACACCTCATCCTACAACCCCCCCCCCCCCACCCCTCAAAATTAAAATTGAATTTTTTTAAACAGCTATATTTTCCAAAATCTTGTCTGAACAATTTATTAAAACAGTTTTCTAAAATGCAAAATAACGTCTAAACTTCGTTTTCTAACATTGCTTTTTTATAATGCAAAAGTGTGACGTCACACCATCTGAACCCCTCCTCCCCCTCATCACACACCGTCACAAAACTACGGACCCACCTCCGAGTGTGACGTCATTTATGGACGACCCCCATACATATTCAATTACGCATGTATACTGATTCAAAAATAGATTTAAATAAGTAGCGGATAATTAACTGTGCGATCAGTGTTAGTTTAAATTGAGTTCTTCTTTTGTTTTTTAATACAAAATATAGCATTATTCAAATATAATATAGATCTAGACCCAGTAAACTAAAATAATGATTAATGGAAAGTTGATACTGTTTCATATAATTTGTAATCGTAATCAGTATCGCCAAAACTGTCAGAATACTACTATTTCATCGTGATGACGTTTTTGACCTTGTCAAAATTTCCCCACCGCTACGAAGTTCGCCATTAGAAAATTTAAATAGAGGTGCCACATTAGTATTTGTGTCTGAAATGTAATTGAGAAAAAAAATTACACGATTTAAACTGTATATATAAACTAATTAGGTTTGAAGTTGTATATGTAACATTTTCTAATTCAATTGTTCGTAAGCAAATATATTATACAGTTGCCTTAAACTTAATACCCCTCTTGCCAAGTGGTACTACCCGTAGAGGTTTTTTAAAACATTGCAATGCATCGTAATGGTTATTTTTAGAATGACAAACTGATACAGCTGCTAATACGTGTTGTAAACGTTGACTCTACTAGTCTATTACTGTTATAATTAATTGCTGCATGAAATAAATCTTGCGATTTGCATAGATGTGCCGAACAAAGATAAGTTTTTAACAAATATCAATGTTTAAAACTTTGAGTTTAAAAAGTTTCCAAAAAGGCGCCACTTTGCTAAAAATGGCCAGAGGGGGAGCCGCCGCTCCCCCTGCTCCCCCCCTGCGTACGCTACTGATTAGAGGTTAGGGTTTAAGGTTGGTGATAAGGTTGGATCTAAAAACATTAGTTCTAAATCATATTACATTTTGCATATATATTGGAATTTAAGAACTGCCTCGTTCTGATTAGTCAGAGTACGAATAGCCTTCCGAGTGCTATTTGTAGTGAACTACGAATAGCCGCAGCCATCACAAATCTTCTCTGATATCCATCATTCTCTTCTTTTAAAAAAAATTACTCAATACACAAAATAATGTCTATAATAACAACAATTCCATTAGCGGGGTACCGAATTAGGGTGGTAATAAACACTAACAGGCTTATATCCCGGGGGTGGGGTAGACGGGTGGGACTACTAATGACGGCTGATGTAATTACGGGCTCCATCTTGTCTACAGTTGTTGACCAAGAGAGTGGCTGTCATGAAATCCAGCTCGGTGGAGATGTATCTGAGCAGGATTAACCCAAAGCTAGGCATGAGGGCCAAGCTCTACTACGTGGATTCAACCATTTCAGCTATACACAAGCTAAGGTTAGTGTTTAGACTAGATCATTTTAGTTATCCACAAGCTAAGGTTAGTGTTTAGACTAGACCATTTCAGCTATACACAAGTTAAGGTTAGTGTTTAGACTAGACCATTTCAGCAATACACAATCTAAGGTGAGTATTTAGACTAGACCATTTTAGCAATACACAAGTTAAGGTTAGTGTTTAGACTAGACCATTACAGAAATACACAAGTTAAGGTTAGTGTTTAGACTAGACCATTTCAGCTATACACAAGCTAAGGTTAGTGTTTAGACTAGATCATTTTAGTTATCCACAAGCTAAGGTTAGTGTTTAGACTAGACCATTTCAGCAATACACAAGCTAAGGTTAGTGTTTAGACTAGACCATTTCAGCAATACACAAGTTAAGGTTAGTGTTTAGACTAGACCATTTCAGCAATACACAAGCTAAGGTTAGTGTTTAGACTAGACCATTTCAGTTATCCACAAGTTAAGGTTAGTGTTTAGACTAGACCATTTCAGCAATACACAAGCTAAGGTTAGTGTTTAGACTAGACCATTTCAGTTATACACAAGTTAAGGTTAGTGTTTAGACTAGACCATTTCAGTTATACACAAGTTAAGGTTAGTGTTTAGACTAGACCATTTCAGCAATACACAAGTTAAGGTTAGTGTTTAGACTAGACCATTTCAGCAATACACAAGCTAAGGTTAGTGTTTAGACTAGACCATTTCAGCAATACACAAGCTAAGGTTAGTGTTTAGACTAGACCATTTCAGTTATACACAAGTTAAGGTTAGTGTTTAGACTAGACCATTTCAGCAATACACAATCTAAGGTGAGTATTTAGACTAGACCATTTTAGCAATACACAAGTTAAGGTTAGTGTTTAGACTAGACCATTTCAGCAATACACAATCTAAGGTGAGTATTTAGACTAGACCATTTTAGCAATACACAAGTTAAGGTTAGTGTTTAGACTAGACCATTTCAGTTATACACAAGTTAAGGTTAGTGTTTAGACTAGACCATTTCAGCAATACACAATCTAAGGTGAGTATTTAGACTAGACCATTTTAGCAATACACAAGTTAAGGTTAGTGTTTAGACTAGACCATTACAGAAATACACAAGTTAAGGTTAGTGTTTAGACTAGACCATTACAGAAATACACAAGTTAAGGTTAGTGTTTAGACTAGACCATTTCAGCTATACACAAGCTAAGGTTAGTTTAGACTAGACTATTACAGCTATACACAAGTTAAGGTTAGTGTTTAGACTAGACCATTTCAGCTATCCACAAGTTAAGGTTAGTGTTTAAACTAGACTACTAGACCATTTCAGCTATCCAGAAGCTCAGATCAATATTATTATGTTCTTCGAAATACAAAGTTAAAAGACCGTGAGTTGTTATTACCTGTTATATATATATATCTATAAAGTAAATTGTTCGGATGCCGCAGGCGATTTAAAATTGTCAGGCGCTGTCCTCCGGCGAATAGAACACGGGGGGGGGGGGGGGGAAATCAGTCAGACTCTAGGTCCTCGCCGAGGGCTACAAAGTTACAGCGACTGACCGGCGCCTTATAAATATCGAAAAAAAATTGCTCCACGACACCCGCCCCAACTCCATCCCCACTCACACACACTTGGTGAGGTTACAGACCAATGCCCATGGATGCCCGGAAAAAAAACGTGTCATCTCTGGCAAATATAACTTATTCTACTTTTGGTTTTTTAAAAGCCTTTAATTTGAGTACAGTTTCTGTTAGACGAAATTTCACACATAAGTATCTAATGCTATGTTTTCTGTCAAATTTTGAGTAATTTCCGGAAAACGGAAGTAGTACTTTACGCTATTTCCGATGAATTTATTTTTTATTCTTCCATGTATCGTCCGTCACGGTCGGAAAACTTTCGAATAAAATATCGTACACTTCTACCTGAACGAGTTATTTTAAAATTTTCCGTTAGGTCAAGAATCGAAGACATTGTATCGTGACCTAAAATGCTACTTAATTAGATGACGAATTAACTCATTGGAAAGTAATTAAGTTTTTTTTTTAGATAGTACTAATCTTCCGCACTAGTATACACACACTGCTGTTAATGTGGTGCTCAATTCTTTCTTCTACGAGTTTCATGGGAAACATATATTTAAAAGCAAAACTAAACAGAAAGTCTGTCTATTTATAATTAGGAGATTTATGTTTCACACAACAGTTTTCACTTAACTGTGGTAGTTGTGGTTTTTTTCTTGTTTTAGTTTAATGATTGTTTAGTTGGTGTGGTTACATTATTTATTATTAAATTTGCAATTTGAAGATCGAAAACCCTAATTTGTTTTTCAGTTTATTTGCTGTTTTTCTTTTTTAAAATTACAGTCGATAGCGTTCGTAAATGACCATCAATTGAAGATTTTAGAATTGTTCAGATTAACGTCGTTAGTTTAACATCGTTAGTTAAACGCTATGATGTTAACATCATGACGTTGAACTCGTTAGGTTAACATCGTGATGAGGTAAGGTGATGATTAGTAGGACTGAACTGCCGGCAGCTGACCTCTCTGTTGTTGTCGTTGGTTTAAGTTGTGTCGCGGGAGTTTTGACGAGGGACGGGTTGGTGCGTTTTGTTGTTGTTGATTGTGGTGGTGGTGCTGGTGGTGCTGGTGTAGTGTTTGTTACAGTGAGATTATTATGAAATAGCCATGGAGTTTTTTTACCTTCCTCATGGTCAATGCATGTTTTAATAAACGTGTTATTCTTGTCTTGTGTTTTAAAAAAAAACACAATTTTTAACCCCGGATGTTTATGTATTTCTACCCCCAAAAGTCAAATGAGGGTGAAAGTGGGGTGAACGACTGTAAAGGGGGGGGGGCTTGTTTTCTTGTTAGCTAGCGTGTAAAAGTGTTACTGTGAAATGTGTCTATGCATGAAAAAATAAAGAAACACACGGTATATATTTATATATATATATATATATATATATATATATATATATATATATATATATATATATATTTCTGTCTGTCTGTCTGTCTGTCTGTCTGTCTGTCTGTCTGTCTGTCTGTCTGTCTGTCTGTCTGTCTGTCTGTCTGTCTGTCTGTCTGTCTGTCTGTCTGTCTGTCTGTCTGTCTGTCTGTCTGTCTGTCTGTCTGTCTGTCTGTCTGTCTGTCTGTCTGTCTGTCTGTCTGTCTGTCTGTCTGTCTGTCTGTCTGTCTGTCTGTCTGTCTGTCTGTCTGTCTGTTTGTGTATCTCTTTATGTCTGTGTGTCTGGGTCTGTGTGGCTCTTTTAGCCTCGTGAGACAATGTAACTTTGAGCGCGGGGGTTAAGATTGTATTTTTTCCTCTCCCGGGCGTGTACCTGGACGCCAAAAGAAAAAAGAATGTGAGTAGCCTATGCGCCATGACCCCTTTCTCGACCTGGCCGGTTCGATGTGTCTAATTTAAATGGAGTAAAAGTGTGTCTCAACATTCACACCAAGTTCAAATATCACACGAGCGAGTTAAGACTTCAGCGCCACAACAACAGGAACTCTGTATTTCTCCGCGTCAGATAAAAATGACAAAAAGGCTTCATGCATGTTAATGAAGCTCGCGCTAAAGCAGAACAAAAAAAAACTAGCACGTGACGCTGACCCACTTACCGAAGCTTGGGATTGAGGCTAAGACCCACATGCAGAAAACTTGATTGGAGTTAACCCCCCTAATTTCTACAAGTTTCACAGAGAGAAGAGAAAAAAGTTCGCCCTGATCACGTGACTCGAGCGATTGACGCCATTTTGATGACAAGGCAGAAATGAGACGCGGGGGGAGATAAGATGGATGTCAGGGCTGTCTCTCCCCCCCCCACCCCCACCCCCACACCCCGGGTCTAGCAATCAATACAACCACCAGGGGTGCCCATAGATACATTCTCGGGATGGATGGGCTTGCCCATGTCTATTTGGATTAGGATTTGGTTTTTGCATCAGAAAAGTTTTAATGTAACATGCCTAGAGAATATGTATGAGCTGGTGGGGTCTATAGAATGGGGAAACCACCATCATGATGGTAGTTACCATATCTACATTATAGAGGATGGGTATTCCGTTCACTCTAAGATGGTAGGTATGCTATCCACGTCTAAACTCGCAGGTAACACATCCACATTAAACACGTTAGGCACTCCTTCGATGTTAAAGATGGTAGGTAACCCATCTAAAGAAAGGAGGGACACTATCCATGACAAAGATGGTTGGCACCCCATCAGTGTTAGAGAAACCAGCCATCCATGACAAAGATGGTAGGTAACCTATCTAAAGAAAGAAGGGACCCTATCCATGACAAAGATGGCAGCCCCCCCCCCCTTCCCATCAGTGTTAGAGATACCAGCCATCCATCACACGTCCCATCAACCCAATTTCTAGCAGACGTGAAACAGACATCAGACGTTACACGGCTAAAAAAGACGAATCTGCCGGCTAAAGTAGACGACCCGGCTAATAAAGGCGAATCTGCTGCTTAAAATAGACCGGCTAATAAAGACTAATCTGCCGGTTGAAATAAACCGGCTAATAAAGACGAATCTGTCGGTTTAAATAGACGACACGGCTAATAAAGACGAATCTGCTGCTTAAAATAAACCGGCTAATAAAGACGAATCTGCCGGTTGAAATAGACGACACGGCTAATAGAGACGAATCTGCCGGTTGAAATAGATGACACGGCTAATAGAGACGAATCTGCCGGTTGAAATAGACGACACGACTAATAAAGACGAATCTGCCGGTTGAAATAAACCGGCTAATAAAGACGAATCTGCCGGTTGAAATAGACGTCACGGCCAACAAAGACGACCGGCAGCAGACACCAGAGTTTACATTTGGAGATCGATGACAACTCCAGCTAATCTTTGCTACGTCACCGGTAATAGGCTCTGCGCATGCGTGAACGTCATGGCGGCGTGGTGAATGTACAAGAACATTCCATCATAATCCGGTCAATGATATTTTTTTTCTGGTAGATTCAAGGTATATTGAT